TTTTGAGTTTTATTTCTGCTTTTCTAGGTTACAGCAATCTCATCCATTGTTAATATATATATATATATATTTGTAGATCTGATAAACATTCTCTCCTCTAGACAGGGAACAGAAAAATAACAAAAATGTCAGCCTCAGCAACCGGAAGATAAATTCAAAAAATTATTGTAAAGCAGACTAAGGAAGAGATAGAAGCAAAGAAGCTTTTTAAACAGATGAACAAAACTTCCAAGAAATTGGAAGACAGATTTCAGCACCATGTAATTATTTCCTCTCTTTTCACCCTGTATGCTGCTGATAATGTGAGAAAATAATTCATTACCAGAGGAAGCTTTCCATTTAATAGAAGAGCGTAAGATCTGAAGCAGATACAGTCCCTCTTTCTGGATTTCCCTGTATGTTCTCCTATGGAGAATTAATAGATTAAGTAAATCTGGAGAAACAGTGCAACCCCTGCGCATATAAATACAAATTTCTTGTTTTGACAGGTATATAATTATTTGGGACATAAATTACTTTTGATAATTGCCTAGTTTATCATTTTATTCATTGAAAATTGATCATTTAATAAAATGAGAATTTTTTTCTTAAAAGAAAAAAGGCAGTAGCCTCTGTATATACATTTTATAGTGTGCTGTTCACTAGGAAATCGGGCTGTGTGTGAGAGACTTAAACCTTCCAGTCAAATGCCTGTTTACCTGTTTTTTCTTGACTTTTGTTTGCAACTCTATATAGTAGAAGGAATTATCTGAGTAACACAGAGAAGTTATCACGTAGGTGCTTCATCAAAGGAGCTTTTTAAGAAAAGACTGGACAACCACCTATCTGAAATGGTATAGCGCCGTGATGGCAAACCTATGGCATGTGCCACAGGTGGCATGTGGAGCCATTTGTGCCGGCACGCGGTACCATTTGTGCTGGCACAAGAGCCACAGGCAAACTTACCTCACTGACACACGCGTGCCTCGCAGCTGATTTTCAGGCTGTTTGAGGACTTTTTCAGTCTCCCAGAGGCTTGAGGAAAGCATTTGTAGGCTGAAAAATAGGCCTGTTTCATACCGGAAGTGACGAAATGGGCCTATTTTTCAACCTGCAAAGGCTGTAGAAGTTTACCTCAAGCCTCTGGGAGGCCAAAAAAGGCCTCAAATGAGCCAAAAATCAGCTGGGAGGCTCAGTGCAGGTAAGGGGGCAGCGGGGGATGGAATTATATGCACATGTGCAGGGGGCGTGGGGGGGCCCACACATTGCCTTCTGGGTTTTTGGCACAGGAGCCCAAAAGGGTTAGTGTTATGTCCCTGGAACTTGCCAAAGTCCCCACCCAGGTCCGTTCATGCTGCGGGGGCGTTTGCTGCCCCTCATTGGCTGGCCTCCCTCGACAGCCGGCTATAAAAGCCAGCTGCAGGGTCCGGCCAGCCGCTGATCGCTGGGAGCCTGCTCCAGGCAGAGCTAACACGTTCAGTCCTTTATTGCTACAATAAAGTCTTGTTGCATCCATGCCCTGGTCTAGCCTCTCATTGCTCAACTACAACACTGGCGACGAGGATGGGATGGCTACCAGAGGCAATTCGCAACAGCTGAAATCACTAAAACCGCTGAGCCGCAGCCGCGCCGCCGGAGAGCTCGGTCAGCAAAAGCGAAAGTAATAAGCGTCTGTAGCCGCTTGTTAGCAAGCTACAGAGGAAAGTGAAGCGCTGCGAGCCGCAGCCGCTCAATACAAAAGAGCGCGAAATTCAAACGGCTGTCGTTTGAATTTCAAGCCGGAATACAGCGCGGTGCTGTTATTCCGAGTCACTGACACTTACGCAGGCGCGAAATTCAAAGCGCTATCAGAGGCGGTAAGCCATCACCGCCTACGCTCTCCAGGAGCGCGAAAATCAAAACGCTGCCAACAGCCGTTGCAGCTTAGCCACAATTGCAGCCCAGAGAGAGAGCAGAGAGGTTCTGTGGAGCCTCTCCAGAGCTGTAGTCACTAGCCTGACAAGAACACAAGTGCCATTTGTTGTCCCAGAGAGATTTCTCAACAGCATAACGCGCAGGAGTCCTCATCATGAACTCCAACCCAGCCTTCCCACCGTTCAAGCCGGAAGAAGAAAAATGGGAGTCATACAAGAATCGTTTTAACCACTATATCGACGCTATCGGTCTGGCTGATGCTGGGGAGCACAGAAAAAGGTCATTCTTCCTCAGTTATTGCGGAGCCATCGTTTTTGATACAGCCACAGCACTCGTCGCTCCACGTGAGTTAAAGAATGTTCCCTGGGCAGAATTGCTAGAGATTCTCACCAATCATTACTCCCCCAGACCATCACAAATCACGAGGCGTTTCACCTTCCGGATGAGGAAGCAAGCGGAAAAAGAAACCGTCAACCAATATATGGCCGCCTTGAGGACTGCAGCCCTCCACTGCGGGTTCGGGAACTATCTTGATGACATGCTCCTCGACCAGCTCGTCTGCGGGGTCAAAGACCTTCACCTCCAAAGGCGACTACTCGCCAAGAAGGACCTCAACTTATCCCAGGCCGTCGAGGAAGCCTTGGCAGCAGAGCTGGCAACCCAGTCAGCCACTGAAATTCAAGGTCCCGTTCCCAAACAAAGCTGCGCCACAGTTCATTCAGAAGAGGTAGTCAACGAAGACGACCCTAACGATCAAACAGACATCCACCGCCTCACCCACGCCAAACAACCACAGGCAGGAGTCAGGCAAGAAACCAACAGCGCACCCAAACACATCATCCTGTGCCTATCCTGTGGCGGACCTCACGCGAGAGCTACGTGCAAATTCAAGGGTGCCATCTG